ATTCAGTAAGTTTTTTTGAAATTCAGTACGTTTTAAAATGTATTTCAGTACGATTTGTCTTTTTCATTCTGGCAGCCCTGCTACATGATCTACACAGTCTCAACCTATATCGAATGTTTATTACATAGCGCAATATACGGCATTTTTTAGTGGCGCTGTTTGGTTTATATTAAAAGTTTTAAATGTACTCCGCGCTGAGTGCAATGATACTTCCTATTTTATGTTTTTTGCTAAAGAGAACACACACGTGTGCAGTTTTTATTTTATTACTTAATATTATGCTTCTTTTAACAAGACCATTATTGTTTAGATCGTTCTTTTGTTTTAAGTAAATATATTCTTTCAAAGAAAAGTTTTAGAGGTTCCTATATTTTATGTCCCTATTCTTTTATAATGCATTTTTCTAATTAAAAAACTTTGGAGGTGGCTCAAATTTTCTTTACAACGCCACAATATGTTCCCCTCCTACAAATTCTCATAACGAAGACCTGGAAATATACTAATTGATTAAACAGTAGGAGAAAAAAATGCTAGGAGAATTATTTCTAACATTCCTTGAATATATAACCAAAGCTAAAATTTTCTACAAATTATGTAAATTCCCAAAGAAACAACAAACTCTTCAAAAAAAAATCTCATCTCTTGTGGTAGATATTATCCCTGAGCATTCTTTAAAAAATATGCCTACTGATTGGAATGGTCTTTCTGAAGATATTGACTCTAAATTTTTAGACTTCTTAAATAAAATAATTATGTGTTTCAATACAGCTTTCCCCCTTCGCCCCATTAAAACTAAATGTCATAAATCTTGGGCAACTAAAGGAATAAGAACATCATCTAAAAATATGAGGTCACTCATGTATATTAAAAAGTACACAGATAATCCCCTAATATTAAACTATATCAACAACTACAGAATATTGTATCGGAAAATCACCAAATCTGCTAAGAAAAACTATTACAAAAATCGCATCGCAAGAGCTAAAAACTCCTCCAAAGAAACCTGGTCTATAATAAATGACTTAAGGAATAAAACCCGTTCTTCAAACAGTGTAAATCCTAGCCCAGATGAACTAAACAATTATTTCGTAAATGTAAGTAAAAATATCAAATCTAACATAGCTCCGAGTCAGGATGCTCTCTCCTTCCTCCTACCTACTAAAAGGATCACTGAAAGTTTCTTCCTAAGACCAGTAGACAAGCATGAACTAGTGCAAACCATAAACAACATCCAAAATAAATTTTCCTGTGGAATTGATGGCCTGTCCACCAGAATATTTCTAAATATACCGGATGTAGTAATCAACATTTTAACTTCACTGATTAATGAATCCTTTGAAATTGGTCTCTTTCCTAACTGTCTAAAAACAGCTATAATAATCCCACTTCATAAAGGTGGCGACAAAACCAAAACCTGTAACTATAGACCTATCGCGTTATTGCCTACCTTATCGAAGATAGTAGAACGGCTAATGAAAAACCGTCTTTTGCCCTTTCTTTTCAAGCATAACATCCTCACAGCTCATCAGTATGGCTTTCTACCTAAAAAATGCACTAGCGACGCAATGTTTTCCGTTCTTAATGAAATATACACATCACTTAATGATAAACTTTTCACCGCTTCAGTATTTTGTGACTTCGCAAAGGCCTTCGATTGTGTAAATCATGATATTTTAATTAATAAGTTACAAATTTATGGCATACGGGGTTCTCCTTTACAATGGTTTAAAACTTCCCTAGAAAATAGAAATCAACAGGTGCGGGCGAATGGTGAGGATTCTACAAATCTAGCAATAAGCAGTGGAGTACCTCAAGGATCAGTATTAGGTCCAATTTTGTTTTTATTATTCATCAACGACATCACAGACTTAAGAATAAGTGGTAGAATTACTTTATTTGCTGATGACACCAGTGTAACCTGGAATAATTCTAACATGCAGACATTACAATCTATCATACGTGAAGATCTAGTGACTATTAAGTCCTGGTCTGATTCGAATGGACTTTGTTTCAACACTAGTAAAACTGTAGCATTGTCTTACAGAGGTACTTTACAACCTATAACTTTAAACAATAATCTGATTCAAACGGTGACTTCAATCAAGTTTTTAGGTCTTTATATAGACGATTCTCTAAAATGGTCTGCTCATATAGATACCTTAGCAAAAAAATTATCCTCCGCATGTTTTGCCATTAAATCGGTTTCTAAAGAGCTGACTCCTTCTACTGCATTAATAACCTACTTTTCCTTATTCGAATCTCACCTTCGCTATGGTTTACCTTTCTGGGGTTCTTGTAGCTTATACCTTTTCGAATCTATTTTTAAACTGCAAAAAAGAGCAATCCGCTATGTATTTGGTTTAAGTAGTAGGACACATTGCGAAAATTACTTCAAAAATTTCAAAATTCTAACCCTTCCTGCTCTATTTATTTTCGAATCCGTCTGCTTAGTTCGCAAGCACATTCAAAATTTATCCGAAAGACCGACTCGTAGATATCCTACAAGAAATTTAGAGACTGATGTTTATTTAACAATGCCCGATTCTGACCTATTAAAACATTCCATTACCTACAATGCCAAAAAATTGTATGATAACCTTCCGATGCAATTAAAATCTATAAATACATACGATAAGTTCCGAAGACTGGCTAAAGCTTTTCTTCTAGAAAGACCATATTACACAGTAGCAGAATTTTATAACGTACCTTAAACATTTGAGTTCCACATACAATGGCATTAATTAAATAATTAAATATTAAAGTTTAAATTTAAATTTAAATTGCAATTGTTATTCCTATTTTGTCTGTTTGTTTCTGTTTGTTTTTTCTGCTGTTTAGTTATTTTTATAATATGTTTAGTATTTAAGTTACACGCTTTGTCTATAAAATTTTTGTAAATTTTTTTACGACAATAAAGCATATCTCTCTCTCTCTCTCTCTCTCTCTCTATTCATTCAATCAACAAAGCTGATGACATCGATATAAAAAACCGAAGATTAAACTTTACCTCTCATAAAAAATAGTAGATAGACTATTTTGTATAAATCCTCAAATAGAGAATAATTATTGCGAGAAATCTCCCTTCAGTAATATCTTTCTCTTTTGATATTTTCCAAATTTTCTAATAATTGTTTTTCTTTTCAGGACTATCCGTAAAAACATTTAAATCGCCGCAAATATTTCGAGTTAATCGGTAGCATGATATCAATGGTTTGCGCTCATGTTCATTTCACCTCTGACAATAAAGACGTTTGATCTTAGAATGTATATGTCCTTTGATGATCAATGTAGATTTTCGATTTGCATTATAGTGTCTTTGGATATACCTTCTAGGACCAAATGGACAAGGCTGCAGATATACTAACCTGAGATACATCTATGTATCAAAGGGTTGCTATAGAATTGAACATGATACGATTATCATTAATGTCGTCGGGAATGGAAGATTTTCCGGTCGCGATTTTATCAAAAAAGTCTACTGAAAATAATGAATATGATGAAAAAAGGAAATAAATACTGAACCAACTAATGAGCGGTTCCAAATGGTGAGTTTTTTTAATTTAAATTGAGTTTTTTTGTAAACAAATTATTACAAAATATCTTAATCTTTTTCTGGATTTGTAATCCATTTTTATTTCTACCGAAATTTCTTATACCCATTAGTGCAAGGAAGTCCAATATCATAAAAAAATATAAAAAATATTTTTAAAAAAGTTATAGGTTATTTTAATGCATATTTATAAAATAATTTTAAATATACAGGATATTTAGTTACAGTGAGACAGCCTTAATGTCGATGTTTTTAAATAACTCGCCCTGTACATATTTTCACCATTTATTCCAGTGTAAAATTTAATCTGAGAAAATATGAGAATTTACTAAAACTGTTCACAAAACTTTGGTTTTGACATTTAGGTAAGGTTAGCTGAAATATGCGACAAGATCAAAAGTTTATTTTTATGAACAGGGAATTTTAAATAGGGTATTTTAGGCAGAATAATCAAATTTCCGTTCTTTAAACATCTAAAATTTCGAAATGAACACCATGTTGAATTAGAATACTAGGAAAAGATTACTATTTTCTTTAATATCTTTTTTACATTTAGATTTAACCGTCTAAACTTTCTCACTCGCACACTCAGTGGTCCCATCCCGAGCGGCGAGATAAGTTTTGTAAAAGCAATTATTAAAAAAATATACAGGGTATTTCAGAATAAATTACCTTGTGTAGATCTTAAATAACTAATAAGAGAAGCTACATATAACTTTATCACCCTGTAGAATGAAAATTGAGACGTTTACAGGAAAACTATATAAATATATATAATTAAACCAGTAATTTGTGGGTAATGCAGCAAATAAAAGAGTACTTTTTTAAGTTTATTCCAAGCTTTCGGAAATGTTTATTTCCATCATCAGGGAGAATCTTAATTAAGGTTGTTCATTTTGGTGGTATTATTTAGTTTAGTGTAAAGATACAAAATGGACAAGCTGAAGTCAATTACAAAATAATATACACAAACAATAACTACGATACTTTAAAACTAAAAATATATAAATAATACCACCAAAATGAACAACCTTAATTAAGATTCTCCCTGATGATGGAAATAAACATTTCCGAAAGCTTGGAATAAACTTAAAAAAGTACTCTTTTATTTGCTGCATTACCCACAAATTACTGGTTTAATTATTAACTAGTCAGCAACGAATATAAACTCTCTTAAATATATATATATATATATATATATATATATATATATATATATTATATATATATATATATATATATATATATATATATATATATATATATCTGATTTATGATTGTGAAAATGCAGTTAACTTAATAAATCAAGACCTAAGTCAAATTATTTCTTATTCGTTAAATCGTAACTTACATATTAACGCCAGCAAGTCTAAATTGTTAATATTTTGCAATAATAATTATAAGGATTTTGTTAAATCTAAAGCAATAATACATTTTGGGTATATTTTACCTTCGCCACCTTCTGCAGTTCCTTCAATATTAGCAGCTTCTTCACCCTCTGGGGGCCCGCCTGATACGAGTTCTGCTCCTTCTGTAATTGCTCCACCTTCTTCTTCTGCCCCACTTTCTCCTTCTAAAAGTATCTTTTTTATCTGTATGTTTATAAATTAGGAAAAGGTAATTTAAAGGTAATTTATTAGAAAATAAAATATTTTGACGAATACGCTACATTAGTGATGACGTAATTTTGGTTCCACTGGCAATTAGAATGACAAGTATGTTTTTTTTCGAGTAAATTATATAATTTTTGAACTTTTATGAATATATTCCTAGGGTTAGCGATATGATACTGGTATCGATACTTTTCTTTCGATACTTTACTCATATGGACACTACTTCTGTTTCAATATACTACTTTCTCGTTTCAATATTTTACTAGTTTTGATATTACAATAAAAACAACAAGTATATTGTAGGATCACTTTATGGTATGGTATGTCGGCGTACCCTATGACTTTTTTTTGTTTGTTCTTTCCCGATATCGGTATCGATACTTTCGTTTTGATACCCTTTCGATATCGGTATCGATACTTTGGTTCCGATACTCTTTTCGATACCAGTATCGATACTTTACTGGTATCGCACTGGTACCTAGGGTAAGTAGATAAAATGCATTAGGTATATAATTATCCATATTTATCTGTAACCAATTACATATCTTTAAACTACTTTTTATGACCAGCAAACAATATTTAATGAAAACATATAAAAATAAGAAGAAGAAGAAGAAGAAGAAGAAGAAGAAGAAGAAGAAGAAGAAAGAAGAAGAGAAGAAGAAGAAGAAGAAGAAGAAGAAGAAGAAGAAGAAGAAGAAGAAGAAGAAGAAGAAGAAGAAGAAGAAGAAGAAGAAGAAGAAGAAGAAGAAGAAGAAGAAGAAGAAGACAGAAGAAGAAGAAGAAGAAGAAGAAGAAGAAGAAGAAGAAGAAGAAGAAGAAGAAGGAAGAAGAAGAAGAAAGAAGAAGAAGAAGAAGAAGAAGAAGAAGAAGAAGAAGAAGAAGAAGAAGAAGAAGAAGAAGAAAAGAAGAAGAAGAAGAAGAAGAAGAAGAAGAAGAAGAAGAAGAAGAAAAAGAAGAAGAAGAAGAAGAACCAAAATTGATCAACCGAAGGAGGTGCTGGAAGAGATTATTTGCAATCAAAATAAAAATATACAGAACTCTCTTGACAAACAACTGATTATGCTTACATCCCTCCAGTCCCGTGGTTTTCACGCTACTTTATGCACTTTAGAAAAATCACTTAATGGTACCTAATAATAAAGCAATGACGATGTGAGCACAAGATTTTTATAGTGATTACTTATATTGTAATTTGTACTATATTGTACTTTTAATCTCCAGGAGATTCAAAGTAATTTTAATCCCTAGGTAGTAAAAATTCCATTAAGTATTGTACTTTTATTCCCTATCTATTAAAAACTATTTTTTTATTTTCTAGGGAGTAAAAGTATCATTTTAGTCCCTAAAGTGCATTAAATTAAATGATCATACCGTATTCACTTGCTTCACCTTCACTGTCACCACGTTCACTTGGAGCACCTACACTTGGGGCTCCTTCGCTAGGAGCTCCCATACTCGGACCCTCTTGACTAGGCGTTACTTCAGCTTTGGGACTTTCGCCTGCCTTGCCTTCTGCCTCTACTTCTTCGGCTACGGTTGTATCTACAGGTGACGGTGGAGGAGGTACTTCTTCGGGTGGTTTTGCTTCTTCTTTGACGGCTAAAATAAATATAGAGCAGGTTGTGTTGGGTTTGAATAATTTCATATTTAATTAAATTAAGGAAATGAAGGAAAGTTACAAAAAATATTGAAATTGATGGGTGTTAAAAAAATAAAAATATACATATAGTCCTACAAGTTACGTCAGTTCTGCAGTACCAGAATGCATTCTCAAATAACGATATGGACAATTCCATATTTAAATAACTTACGACGTAGGCAGCAGTAGATATTTAAAAAGTAGATTTTAAAATCAATTGCAAAAATTGTTAATTTTACTGCTATTTTATCGCTATTTTTTATCTATTTTATTCCAATTTTTATCGTTATTTTATTGCCATTTTTCAATCCCATATTTAAATTACTTGTGACGTAGGGCAGCAGCAGATATTTAAAAAAGTAGATTTAAAACCAATTGCAAAAATTGTTAATTTTTACTGCTATTTTATCGCTATTTATAGCTATCATATTACCTATTTCAATCCCATTTTATTGCTATTTTATTACCATTTTATTTTTATTTTATTTTATTTTACTGCCATTTACTGTCATTTTACTGTCATTTTACTGGATATTTTTACAGATATTTTACTGATATTACTATTTTTACTGATATTTTACTGATATTTACTGATATTTTACTGATATTTTACTGATATTTTACTGATATTTTACTGATATTTTACTGATATTTTACTGATTATTTACTGATATTTTACTGATTATTTACTGATATTTTACTGATATTTTACTGATATTTACTGATATTTACTGATATTTTACTGATATTTTTCTGATTATTTTTATACTGATATTTTACTGATATTTTACTGATATTTTACTGGATATTTTACTGATATTTTACTGATATTTTACTGATAATTTTACTGATATTTTACTGATATTTTTACTGATATTTTACTGATATTTTACTGATATTTTACTGATATTTTACTGATATTTTACTGATATTTTACTGATATTTTACTGATATTTTACTGATATTTTACTGATATTTTACTGATATTTTACTGATATTTTACTGATATTTTACTGATATTTACTGATATTTTACTGATATTTTACTGATATTATTACTGATTATTTTATTGATATTTTACTGTATTTTACCGATATTTTACCGATATTTTACCGATATTTTTACTGATATTTTACTGAAATTTTACTGATATTTTACTGATATTTTACTGATATATTACTGATATTTTACTGATATTTTACTGATATTTTACTGATATTTTACTGATATTTACTGATATTTTACTGATATTTTACTAATATTTTACTAATATTTTTACTAATATTATTACTAATATTTTACTGATATTTTACTGATATTTTACTGATATTTTACTGATATTTAACTGATATTTTTCTGATATTTTACTGATATTTTTACTGATATTTACTAATATTTTACTAATATTTTACTAATATTTTACTAATATTTTACTGATATAGTTTACTGATATTTTACTGATATTTTAATTACTGATATTTTACTGATATTTTACTGATATTTTACCTGATATTTTACTGATATTTTACTGATATTTTACTGATATTTTACTGATATTTTACTGATATTTTTACAGATATTTTACTGATATTTTACTGATATTTTACTGATTTTTACTGATATTTTACTGATATTTTACTGATATTTTACTGATATTTTACTATTTACTGATATTTTACTGCTAATTTATTGTTTTATTACTATTGAATGAAATCTATTGAACACAAAGTAACATAATATCAAATAGTGTTATTTATAAATAATCCACCAAATTCATTAAACTTAGACGTCCAACTTTACTATAGCCTTTTCCTTTTCCACCTTACTTTTTATATAAGATTTTCCTTACCTTGTTCTTTTGATGGTTTTCTCTCGGCTTCCTTCTTCTTTTGCGACATCGGCCCGAAGAGTTTAAATTCATTCGGCAGTTCTTCGTCAGTATACAAGGTGTCTGTGAAATATAATCGTCTAACACGGACATTTGCGTGTATTTGTACTCTCATAGTTTCGCAGTATGTCGAGCCTGAAATGTTTATACGGAGTGGCCCAAAAGTTTGGAAACGGCCAATTATCTCGTAAATTGCTAGTCCTATTATGTACAAAATTTGTGGGTAAACATATTAGGGGTTACGGATATTCCAGATTTGATATTTGCAATGTTGCCAGATTTTCCGTTTCTCTTATATTATTAGTAACTTTGGTTTTTCAAATTGATTACCCTGTTATTAAGTCATTATTGGAATCTCCTATTCAATACGAGTTCAACCATATAAAACACTTATAATTTTATGTAGTCGGAAGGTCTTAAATAAATAAAACAATCATGGAGAAATGTGGTAAATGCACTCTATGATCGATTAGGGTACTGTCAACTCACAAATGAAGCACATTTTGAACACTTGGATAAAGTAACCATTATGTTAAAAATGGTGTAATCTTTCAATTGTTACGTTTTAATGTACTTGAAAATAGTTTGTATTAAAAAAATTATGAGACAATTAGGCGTTGTCAGACTTCTGTTTTATTTATTTAAGACCTTCTAGACTACATAAAATCATAAGTGTTACACATGGTTGAACTCGTATTGAATAGAAGATTCCAATAATGACTTAATATACAGGGTGATCAATTTGAAAAACCAAAGTGTGACTAATAATATAAGAGAAACGGAAAATCTGGCAACATTGCAAATATCAAATCTGGAATCTCCGTTATTCCAAAAATAGGGCGTACCCCAAATTTTGTATAATTAGGACTAGCAATTTACGAGATAATTGGCCCGTTTCCAGACTTTTGGGCAACTGTGTATATATCTTACAAAATAAAATAGATATTGCGCCTGCTTAATAAATTATTTTTAAAAGCTAATTCAGTTTTAAAAGAATGTTTCGGAAACTTTGTAGATATTATGGAGACTATTATGGAGACTAATAATAAAAACCCTTTGTACCACTGTCAGAACTGATTCCAACATACATGATAAGGTTAAAACGTCATCAGCCAATAACCTGTTATTTCTTTCAATGAGACAGACATTGGGGTCTATTCTGTAACAATTCCTTTATATTTAACGGCCTTTAAAAATATTGGCGACCTTTAAAAATATGTTTGTATTCGTTAATTTACTTCTGTCATTATTTAAACAGATTTCTTTAAGATAGTCCTCTAATGTATTTTAAAGATCCGTTTAAATAATGACAGAAGTAAAGAAGAAAATATTTTTAAAGCCGTTAAATATAAAGGAATTGTTACAGAATAGACCCCATACTTAGGTATATAGATATGTTAAATAACATCAAGTAATTGAATTAATGGAGTTTACAAATGAAGTAACAAACACAGTTGTCACAATCTATCTATTCAGTTGGTTTTTTTTATCTTCTGGTCCCCTCCCCTCCCCCCAAAAGTGTGCCTTGGTATGGCATCGATTCTCCATAATATACCACATTCTTTTTTAATGAATACTTTTGTTGCCTTTTAGGACAGATGCTTCTCATAAAATTTTAATACCAACGTCTTACCATAAGCTCTTTTGGTAAAATCAGCTAAATTGAACTGGACTTGGTTCCACCCCGAACTAAGTCCAATTGGCATTGTAGTACAGAAAGGCTTTACTTTCGTGCTGGATTGGGAAGTTGGACACCCTAAATCTACGGTGCATGTCTTTGTCATCTATAAAATAATATATTAAAGGAAAATAATATTACATTTTTCAGTTTACTCGCCTAATATTTGTATTTCAAATGTAAAATATTTCTTCATATTCTTTATGATCATTACGAAGAACGGTAACCTTATACCGAGGGAGGCTCTTGGTTTGATCGGACATGTAATGTAGGTGGTTGCTACGTTTGTACCGGATATATCTAACACCAACGATTTTACTTCGTCATCCACGATCCTTCTGATATGTCCATTTTTAACCTAAAACATTAAATACAAAAAAGATATTAACAATATATATTATGTTCATATGTCTATATCAGGCAGATAATGAATAAAACAACCGCAACTGTGGCACAAGTTACGTGGTTTATTTCGTCTCTTTCAACATCCGTCTCTATGGTAGCGGACATGAAGTAAATACAATGGACTGTATATATGAGAGGATGCCCAAACGTTGCAGAACCGCACATTATGTATGTTTAAGTTGCCCGACATCGAGTTTGAAGAGTTTCCCGCATTTTGATAGGTACACAATTATAAGGGGACTAAACACTACATAGGTATATTCAAGTATGTAAATCTCACATAGATCAAAGTTCATGTTGCGGTACCTCGCTCTGCTCGTCCCGCAAATATTCACTCGTTACATAAAATAAAGTATTTCGCAACTGGTTTCATATGATACACCAAGAGAAACATTGTGAAAGAGGTTTAGAAAAATAGTATTCCTAAAATTAGAATATTTTAATTTATAGTTACACTATATATCAACTTCTAAACATGCTGGCATATTAGATAACAATATAAAAAGTGTGAAGATGTATAATAGGATTTATGAAGATTTTGAAGGAACTATAAAGGATGTATAAAGAATTTAAGAGGATATCTAAAGGATTTATGAGTTTTTCTTATGATTTATAAAGGATTTATGAGGATTTCTGTGGAAATGAAGAGGATGTTTAAGGATTTAAAAGGAATTATATGATTTATATAGATTTATTTCTGTCAAAACGAATGTTGGTGTACAACATATAGGTCAGTGGTTAAAATAAGTACAGTAGGATAGGACTGTATATGACCACATTGCTCTACCTTGGAATATACAAGATGTGTTTTGACAGAAGGTTGCCAGACTGCTTTTAATTTTTTCTTGAAATTATCCACTTAAATGTAATATTTAAGCTGTAAGTACATTATTTGATCTAATAGAGTGTTTTTTAGTTAATAATAGTTCATATCCTGTCAAAGGTTTGTTACAGGGGAAAGTCGGCTATATTGTACCAGCTCCTAAATTTTACCATTCCAAAATTTTAAAGAAAACGATACCTTAAGCGCCATCTTTTATTGCCACGAGGTACTTTTATGTATTTGAAGGTTAGTAGTTAAAGAGAGTGTCGTTCCGCAACGGTTTCGAAGAGCAAAGAGTGATTAAATAATGTATACCTATTTCAAGTAAATTTCGACTACATTTTCTTAAGGTTTAAAACAAAATCTATGATATTTAGGACGATTTGATTAATATAAGTCTAAAAGAAACTAAATTTAAAATATAACATCAAAAACTTGTGAATAAAAAGTTTGCAATTTTGTCTAGTTGCCTAATGAGGACCACTAAGGTGTTTCTTAATTTGTACCGGTACAATTTAAACGACTCATGCATGTTTTTATTTAGAATGCCACCCACCTCTGAGAAAACGAAAGGGAAAATATTGTCAGTAGTCAAAGGAAAATATGAAAGAAGCCATTGCGAAATATAAAACATGAAAATATGGTCTAAATGAAATATGTACCATGTACTAAGTTCCTAAGCCTACTTTCAAGAGATATCTAGCAGCAACGAATAAAGGTCTAGGTAGGTCTACAGTTTTCTGTTGAGGTGGAAGCAGGGTTGGAAAAACATATTATTGCGTTAGAGGAAATATTCTTTGGTCTTATCATTAAGGACACCAGAAGAGCAGCATTTCAATTCGTAGAAAAAATTTCTATAAAACATAATTTTAGTAAAAGAATGGGTATGGCTGGGAAGAAGTGGTACTACAATTTTATGAAACGCCACCCAAACCTTTCATTAAGGCAACCATAATCAACATCATTAGCACGTTTCAGAGGATTTAACAAAAAAAAATGTTACAGATTTCTTTAATAAACTCTGAAAAAATCATCGATGAAAATAAATTAGATGCCACACAAATATACTTAAGTTGGAACCATATGGAAAACTTTTTTATTATTGATTTTAGGAAAAAAAAGTTATTCTTGATAAAAAGTCCTGCATAATCCAAAACTTAAAAATACAGTCATCAGATATCAAATTTTTCAAGCCGTATACGAGGTTTGTCAAAAAATATGAATTTTGCTCAAGAGTAAAGTACGTTTATTTTTTTACAAAATCGAAAATTTTCATTAAGAAATTTGCTAAATTCTTCACAAACATCAACAAAAGGAAAGCGTATCATGTTTATAGTAGCTAACGTAATTTATAACGTTTTCAGATATTTAAAATCAATGTGTAGAGTGTAGAGTTTATAAAAAATAAGAAAATCTGTTTTTTCAAATAGATCGGTGTAATTGCATATTTGAATGTAATATTCAATTCTAATCAACTTTTCTTAATGAAAATTTTCGATTTTGTCAAAAATAAACGTACTTTACACTTGAGCAAAATTCATATTTTTTGACAAACCTCGTATACGGCTTGAAAAATTTGATATGTGATGACTGTATTTTAGGTTTTGGGTCATGCAGGACTTTTTATCAAGAATAACTTTTTTCCTAAAATCAATAATAAAAAATGTTTTCCATATGGTTCCAACTTAAGTAGACACACTGTATAATGTAGACGAGTCAGGATTCTCGATAGTCCAAAAAAGTAATGAAAAAAATTTTAGCCAAAAAGGGGCAAACATCAAGTTTGGTACTATTGCCAACGGAAAAAGAGGTGTCAACACTATGATGGTTGTTTGCGCAAGTGCCTCAGGTCAATTTGTCGCACCAATAATTATATTTAAGAGAAAACGAATGTCAGCAGAACTGACTATTATACCACCACTTAGCTGTTTGGTGCAGATATCAGATACAGTCTACATTAACTCTGAGCTATTTGTTATTTATTGAAGTGGTTAAGCCTACAAAGGAAAATAAAGTTCTTTTGGTCTAAAAATTATGCTGCTATATAGTTTTGACCCATGACAATGGTCTACTTATTTTACAATTACCAGGCCACATGACCCATCGGCTTCAACCCCTGGATGTTTCAGTTTTCAAGCCTTTAGAAACATACTATAACCAACCAAGCCATTGAAAAGTGGTTAAGACAGCATGCTGGAATGGGAGTTACGCAATTTCATGTTGCTTCTCTTCTTAATGAAGCTTATGGCAAAGCTGCTGCTATAGTAAATGCTACGAACGGTTTTAGCAAATGTAGGATATGGCCTGTAAATAGAGATGCTTTTTCTGATGCTGATTTTCCTCCTTCAGAACTATTGACTGATAAAGAAAATATTTCAATTGAGACAATGCAAATCGAAATTTTGGAAAAAAATTCCAATATTAGAAAGCCACCACAAATTCAAGTTTTGGTACATGTTCACAGAGCAGCTGACCACGTTAGCACTGAAAAATTCGATACACAGGCAACCAAAAATTTAAATGTGTCAATTGTAGATATTCTTCCTTTACCTGACGTTAGTGAAGCTAAAAAACAGAAGAGCGCACAGACGGTTGAAATTATTACATCCACTCCCTATAAAGAGCAACTGGAAGTAAAACAAAATGCCGTAGAAGAGAAGAAAAAAAGAGCTGTTAAACGAAATTTTGCGATTGAGATGTCACAGAAACCAGCAAGAGGAAAATCAATTTCGAAAGGAAAAAAGAAAATTCTCAAATACAATACGACTTACAACAACCATCATCATCAACAAATGAAGATATTTCAGTATCCGTAAATTATGACAAAAGTGAATGGTTACTGCAAGATTTGTAAGAATGCTTAATAGAAGATATGATTCAATGCATAAGATGAATCATGTGCAGATGCTTCTGACAATTACATATGTCATATGTGCTCTTAAGCATATTGCAGCATTTTTTTTTATACCAAAGAAGGTCGTTTTAATTTTTTTTATTTTAACAGAATTTATATATGTTTTAAGTTTTAAGTAATCTTGTTGTTCAAATATTGTTTTTTTTTTTTAATATTACTTACTAATAAACTATTAAAACTAGTGATTGATTATTTTAATCCAAAATAAAATATTATGTATGCAATAAAGGATAGTACAATTTAGGAAACCATCTGGTACAAATTAGGGAACCGGCTGCCTTAATTGTAGCACTTGTAAAAGTTTTAAAAAAGTTAAATTTGAACCAATAGACGTTTTCAAAACTGTAATGAAAATTATGTAGCAATTTAAACTATCATTTTCTAAAATTTGTAATTGCTATAACAAAAAACGTCAGAACTGGTCCAAATTGGGTTAACCTTACCCCTACATCCTGAAAAACAGAAACCAGCATACATATTTTGTTCAAGATTTTATTTTATATGTAAACAAGTTATTACCTATCTCTATTAAGTCCGCTTCAAATTTTTGTAATCAGCTTCTAAGGCAAATCTACTAATAATGTAAAAAGATAAAGTATCCCTTTAAAGTATACATAATTTTTGTGAAGTATTACAAAAATAATACACACTAGTTTTTTTAATAAAAGAAACAAAGCATTCATGTGTGCTGAAAATCCATTTACACAAATTTTTTCAGTTGCATTGTCCTGGATTATAGTGAAAAGCGATTTTTAGCAAACTGGTATTTCGAAAAACAGTATTTTCACCGTAAAGTCAATTCAATTATCACAATTTTAAATCCGCTAACATACGTACCAGCTTCATCATTTTTAAATTCCATCGACCAGCGGGCAATCCGTTTAAAAGATCCCTCGCAGTCGATTCATTCGCACGACTATTTTGATTTAACATGATTTTCAGTCATCAATGCACTTACTTCCAATTATTGTTATTATTCATCGCCCTGATACAGAGAGGAAAGACGATTTATTTTACGACACTAAAATTGGCTCAAACAGTTTATAGGTCATAAAACTGATTGATATGTCTTCAAATAATCGTTATTACAAGAAATGTAAATTTGAACAAGAGCTAACTATATTCACAGGCGGATTCAAAGGGAGGCAATAGGGCAATTTCTCCCTACTTGAGTCTAATAACCCTAGATTACAAATTGTCCCTCCCCCTGAAAATGTTCTGGATCAGCCCCTGAATACAGGGTGTTCCATTTAAAAGCCACATTGCTGATGTTGAGGGAAATAAACGGGAAAAATAAAAAAATATTTGAATTATTAAAATGTAACACATAAAAGTATTATTGGATGCAAAATCAGAGAATGTACTAGGTGCTGGAATTGCGGTGAAATGGGAAATGTAAGCAGTTCGCGCAAACATCTAAAGAACACTACGAATCGAATAACCGTGCCGGTGGCTGTACAGGAAGGAACGGTGTTGCCTGGGAGTAGTGAAACCATAAGAGTAAGGCGGTTGTAAGAAACTGTAGAGGAAGCAACGCCTGTCATGGCGGAACCTTCGAAGCGCAATGAAGGTGTTGGTCAAGGAACTTTGATTGGAAAGGGATTGGCCATATCTGCTAAAGAAGTTACAGTACGAACACGTCAGTTGTCAGTGATGAGTGGGCCCCTGTCAAACTTAGGGAAGAACAAGAGAGCGATCCCGTTTGGAAGAAGATAAGAGACTGGAAAGCGGAAAATCGTCGACCTACTTGGCAAGAAGTATCGAAACTCTCTCCAGTAGTTAAATCATATTGGGATCAGTGGGACTTCTTTATCCTGGAAGATGGCTTATTAAAGCAAGTACTTGAAAATGATGATGGTTCCAAGAACAGAAGACAATTGGTCATTCCAAGGAGTAGAGTAGCTGAAGTACTTCGTTAGTTACACGACAGTCCATCAGGAGGATATCTCGGTGTTAGGAAACCCCTTCAGAGAGTTCGGGAAAGGTTTTATTGGATGAATTGATGAACAGTTCCGATGATGTAAAGGACTGGTGTAAGAAATGTACCAGCTGTGCTATGAGTAATGGACCTCAGCGAAAAAGGAAAGCTCCCATGAAGTAATACAACGTTGGTAGCCCATTTGAGAGGATCGCCTTAGATATTGCTGGACCATTTCCCATGACCGAGAATGGTAATAAATATATGATGGTGTTTATGGATTATTTTACGAAGTGGATGGAAGTCTTCCAAATCAACAGACTGCAACTGTTGCAGATATGTTGATAAAAGAGTTAATTTGTTCTTGGAGATCCACAGTGGCCAAGGCAGAAATTTTAAAAGCCAACTCTTCCGTGGAATCTGTGACAGACTAGGCATGTAGAAAACCAGAACCACAGCATTGCACCCACAATCTGATGGAATGGTAAAGCGAATGAATAAGACCATTGGAAAATATCTGTCAAAAGTTGTTTCATACCATCAGCGAGATTGGGATCAGTATCTTTCGCTCTTTGCAATGGCTTAGAGATTCGCTGTCAATGAATCAACAAGCCAAACACCAGCAAAGGTCCTGTTTGGGCGTGAGATGAGACTACCGTGTGAACTCGACTTTGAACGCCGACCTGGAGAAGATGTAGCAGGTGAAGATTATGTGATCCAGTTACGAAGAAGAATGGACGATATGCATGAATTAGTCCGCTGGCATCTTCAAATCGCTAGTGACCTAATGAAGAAGCGATACGATACCCAAGCCACAAAAGGATATTTCAGGGAAGGCGACAAAGTCTGGCTCCATAACCCAAAAAGACAAAAGGATTATTCTCCAAAGCTTCAAAGGTCTTGGAAAGGCCCATAGCTCATCAAGAAAAAAAATCAAGGATGTCATTTACCGTACAAGTAAGATCCCGAACGGTAAACCAAAATTAGTGAACCAAAACCGGCTGGCGCCATTTGAGGGTGACCATGAAGAGGAAGAAGAAGTAAACCACCTCCAACACCTGACCTTGTCTTTGAAGAATTTATGGAGGTACCGGAAAAGCAAGATATGGTGTTACAACCGAGCAACAACAAGACCTGCTCACGGTTCCTAAAGAAATCTCGCGGGTCCATAGCACTTCCGCCAACATCTACGACGCTCCAGGTCTGGCATCTGTATTCCGGAAGAAATTGGTCGGTTACCAGCCCCTGGAAAAGCATTAAAATTTCAAGATGGATCACGTTATCTGTTCTATTTGGTAACAAAGAACACCTTCCGAGATCGATCCACCTATCAGTTTAAGGGAGTATGTGATGGACTCCAATGTAGAGTAACTAGCTATTAAAAAGATAGAGAGCAACCAGCTGAATTGGAGGATCATTAGAAACATGGTGGAAGTAATCTTCTAAGATAACCAGGTTGAAATACTGGTCTGCTGTCATTCTCCCAGTGTTCAGGTTATAACGAAGACTGCGCCTTGTTACTTCCATGCAACTGGAAATTGTAAAAGAGGATCCAGTTGCAAATACAACCATTCAGTTTTAGTTCCAGGAGGAACTATTTCTTAAGGAGGGGGCAATGTCATGAAATTCCTAAGCCGACCCTGTCTACAGCAGCTTGGCACCCGACTCATGCTCGAAACTACGGAATCTCCTAGGAATGCCGCTGACGCTCTAGAAACGGCTAGAACGAGCGGAGAGTGCTGTTGAGTCAGAGATGGAATTTTCGGGAGCATCTAGAGACTTCTCGTAGCAGAGTTGCAGTTGGTATAAATAGCCCGGCTCATTGGCGTACAGTTTAGTTTAGTATAGAGTATTGGAATGAAAAGTTACAATTGTAATAAATAAATTAGAATTGTTAGTTAGTGTCTATGTATTATATAAATTAATTAGTACTTCTTAAATAAATTGTAAATAGTGTTTTAAATAAATAAACTATAAATAAATTAGACTATCGTCACAGTATTATAGGTTTATTTTGCCCGTTTGTCCGATGTCAAGCTATATAAAGGGACAAAGCTTATTGATTAAAAAAAAAAAACTGATTAAAAATGGGAGGTTAAGGGGGGTTGAAATTAAAAAAAACATCATTACTCAAAAAAGAAACGCGATATTATTATCAACATGAAATTTTTAGTGAAAATTAAGCTCTATGAGTCTTGAGTTTGAAAAAATTGGGGAGTAAAAATATTAAATAAAAATCCCAACTCAAAAGCAAAAAATGATATCAACTTGAAATTTTTAGCTAAAACCATGCTCTATATGGGGACAGTCCCTATTGATTTTGAAAAAATCTGATGAAAAATAGGGTATTTAAGGAGAGAGGGAATGACATTTAAAAAAATCAATAATCAAAAACAAAAGCGATATCAACATGAAATTTTTAATAAAAATTCAGCTCTATATTTAAAGAGCTTGTTGATTCTGAAAAACAATTTGAATAAAAATGCGGGGTTAAGGGGGATTGAAATAATCAAAAACGAACATTAATATCAACTTGAATTTTTTGTAAAATCAAGCTCTATAATAAAGGGATAAAGCCTATTGATTTAAAAGAAATCTGAATATCAAGGGGGGGTTGAAATAAAAAATAGAAATCAAAAACCAAAAGCGATATCAACATGACATGATTAGTAAAGATCAAGCTCTATAAGGAAATAAATAAATAAAAAGATGGGGTGATAAAGGGGGGTCGAAATATTGAAAAAAATCCTAATTATACAAAACAAAAAAATATATCAAATTGGAATCTTCAGCTTTATGAGGAGATGAATCCTATTGATCCTGAAAAATCTAAGTGAAAACGGGGGTTAAGGGGATCTGTTAAACGGTGAAGAGTATAATATAGAATGCCAGGCATTATATTTCTTTAATCTAGTTTTTTAATAGTAATAGCGATGTTATTTTGTAACTATAAATGAACTTAATTTTTGAGCAATACATATTTTACTACCTTGAACTAAATTAACCAAAGAGAATTGGTTGGTTTACATACTAACCAACTAGCTGGTTATTATGTGTTACTATGAATATTAAGTTCACTTTATTCAAATACTGTGGATAGTTTGTAAACTGTACTTTTCTTGTAGTTTGTACTTTGGTGACATAGTTTGTAAACTAGCTGGACAATATACAATGATTTTCCATCAAAACAGCCAATCATTTGGAGTTTGTGTACTATCCAGCTAGTCTATAAACTAGCCAAGTAAATACTTTAATTATAACGTATACATAAGAAAATATGAAATAATGAATATTATTGCGTACAGAGCACGTAGTTAGGACAACAAATATGCAACATTAAAAAATTTAGTAAACCCATGACATCACATATTAGTAGGTACTAGGAAAGAAAGTAAAAATACCTATTAAAGCTTCTATAATCAATAATATCAATGTTACTTTTTACTACCTCTTACCTTCTATTTAAGTGAAATGAGAGTCACCTTATCGATCATGTTTAACTTTTCTTTTTCATTATAAGATTTTATGGATTATTTTACCTCACCTGCTTGTCCCATAGGGCTAATGGATTACTTCCGACACTATAAAATATTGAGATAAATCCGCTTTGGTAAGAATTTGCAAACATTTTTTTTTATCAGATGTCAAAATGTCAATATGTCAGTGCTAAAGTGATGTGTAAGATTTTTACTCACTTGATCAATTAGGCATTCAAACGACCTGTCAAACAATAGGTGCCAGTGGGAAATTCTTGTATATTTAGGGGGGGTAGCGACATAGTCTTGCAACTTGGACGCTATTTTTATTCGAAGTAGTACTCGCCAAGCCTGCCAATTTATGAAGAAATGTATAGGTGGATATTTAAATATTATTTTTATTGTGTTTGGCATAAAATATTTAAATGTAATCCAATATTTATGATTTTACGTAAAATAGATAGAATACACCATATGTCGCCACCCTTAGATATACCAAACCTGCCCACTGGTAATTCATTTGTTTGGAATGCCTAATAGGGTTCTAACCTCATCGAGATAGAATAAAGTAGAGACGAAATAAACACTATTTTGCGATATGACAGATGGACACACATCAAATGATGGAAAAATGTAATGAAAATGGCGACTTGAGTCCTTCGAGCATATATGCTCGAAGCTTGAGTCGAACTTTGATTTATTTGAAGTCAACCATTTTATGTTTGAAGACTGACGGATTGAAAATGATTTTATATCATATAAATGAAGCTATTTACAAAAAGTGGCATTTATTCTCACTATGAAGACTATAATTCTCACCAAAACTGATTAGCTAAGCTCCACTGTTTTGAATTTGACATATGACGTAAAACTGCAATGCAAAGGTGCGGTCCACATACTTTCATTTTCTTTTGTGCGGTCACTTTAGCATCGTGATAGCATCTCCTCTTTATTATATCTCAATGGTTGAAAGTCCACTACACTGAGGTAGTGTCCACTAGTATTATAAATAATTATATTCCTGTATATGAAGACTAGAGTCTTCATATCCCTATAAAAAAGGCATAGCCTTTCAGCTGCACGTCACCAAATATGACGTAATATCATGTTTTCGGCATGTCTTTGATTACTACATAAAATTTGATGGCGACTCTACAAAATTTTGACAGTTGTCAGGATCGTATTCAGCCAATTAGGAAAAAGCTTTGAAATTAATAAGAATTGTGATATCAAAACATTACAAAATAAAACAAAATGTATTTTTAATTGATATTTATTATCATAAATAATATAACATTAGTAAATAAATTCCTAAAATTAGTTATTATAAGACAACAAGGATCACTTGCCGGATGAAACCTACAATAAGAAATTAGATCTGTTTAAAAAATCACACAAGTTTTATTCGATAAACTAATTACCTTAGAAATCATCGAAATTTAACAAAACTGGTAACGTTAAACTTGTAGAACAACAGCCATTTTTGAATACAATACAATAAACGTTTATTATGCAAAGTTGTCTTCCCACAAGTCCCAATTTGATTCGTTATCCGATTCGTTTAAATCAATGATTACAGGAGAGATATTACTTGCATCAATGATTTTTGCAGTCTCCCAATATTCATCAATAATTTTTCTTGTATGGTCTACATACCTCTTCCATTTTTCTGGTGTAATCTACAATTACATAACAATTATAAACCATAGTATAAAAAAAAACTTTGCATTAAATCTGTTGAAGAGATTCGTTCCAAACACTAATTACAGTATCCGCAGTAATACGTTCTGCCGAAGTTATTTTTGCATCGTAATACCGTTTACACTCAGACCAAACAAGTTTAATTGGATTGAACTGGCAATGATATGGGGGCAGTCTCAACACACGATGACCATGCAAAAGAGCTAATCTATCTAATCTGTAAAATATGCATTTTTAATATCTTATTAAATTATATCATATCATAACATGCCTGTATACTTTATCTGGTACATGTTTCTTGGCAATTTCTAACAATTTGAACTTCATACTAGACATTGGAAACTGTATATTCCTTTCTTTTAACCAATTAATCAGAGAAACTTTGTTCCAACTTGCATTTGATATTTTTTCGAGCAACATTGAATGGTACCACGCATTGTCCATTATTATTAATGACGGTTCTTCTAAGCTTAGTAGAAGCTGATATTCAAACAATCTTTCAAAATTATCAGCATTCATTAAATCATGATAATTTCCAGATTTATTACCACTTTTAAATATCAAGCTACAGTCATTATTAAACCCATTTTCAGAACCCGCATGAAGAACAATGTATCGTACACCTTCACCACTCTTCTTTCTGACTGCCTTATCGGTACCATCCTGCCAGATTTTGCGAAATCCTCCTTTGCTGAATATCCAGGTTTCATCAAGATATACAGACTTAAGACGATGAGAATCACTTTCATTTTTTTTTAAATCTCATAAAAAATATAATCTTTTTCATGTAACATATGAGTGTTCCATGAGATATTTTCTGTTAGAAATGTTACAGCTTATCCACTTGAATTTGAATTCTTTTAAAGCCCTACTGAGTGAAGAAACTGGTGTATTTATCCCATATACACCTTTTAATTTTTTCTTCAACGTATAAAGAGTCACATGCTCATCTACAATAAGAAAAAATGTTACAAAAAAATAATTAAAACCAACCCTTGAAAATAAACTCATAATGAACCAGTAAACAAATTTGTGTGTGAAATGGAAACATAATAACATTGATGAAGATATTTAGAACCTTATACAATCTAACTTGAAAAATATGTATTCATAAATACCAACCTTGACTAAACATTCTGTATATATAAGTCCTGATACCATGTTCATATTTCTCCCAAATATTGGGACCACGGCACAGAATCGGACATTTTAGCTGAGTATTCGCGATCTGCTTGAATACTTTCATTTGCCAATCATCCTACAGTCGATAGCGATATTCCTAAGGCGGCCGAAACACGCTAAAATTAATTGATCATCAATGAATTTTTACTAAACTTTAAGATGTGAAACTTACTTCATGTACAGCATTTACGGGCAATAGAGTTTTACCGGCTTGTTTTTCTAATTGTAAATAAGCAAGCAGTTTTTCGCTATACCTCGGCATGTTTATAATTATCAAAATAAATAAAAAAATAAAAAATAATATTCCAACTTCTAAAAAATGTGATTAACCACAATAATTACAAATGGAACTAATGGAAGTACTGGTCTGATAAAAACTGTTAGACGTACACTTTGACGTTTATCAAAAATAGCTAAAGAGCGTGTTCAAGATTTCAATTTGACTATGAAGCCATGACGTATAGCAAACGGCAGCCAATGAAATGCCTGTATTTTGTCAATTGTAGTTATTTAATATCTACGTGTAGATCTCTCATGATTTTGTTGCGTTACGAAAATTTATAGTGGACGTATCGTTTTTTGCATTTCTTTCAACTTAATGAGATAAAGCGAGATAGATGCCGTATGACGTGCAACTGAAAGGCTATGAAATGAACCATACTGCTCTTGATATAAATCCAGTTTTGATAGTGGCATAATATGTCGTACGAGAAAAGGAATTTCTTCAAAATTCATATACTTAGATTTTAATATACAGGCAATTTTGCAACTAGGTCGTTGTGAAGAATTAGGATAGGGGATTTTTTAGGTAACTCAAAAACTAGACATTTATTAAAATTAGTGCTTTATTACTTTAGTTCACCTCAATAGTACATAATTTATAGGGTGATGCACAAAATAGGTTTCTAAAATAGGCTATTAAAACAGTACGCATATACAGTTCATCAAATTTCTAGAGGTGTTCGACGCCCAGACAGAGAACGCGCTACGTGTGACTAAGATAGCTATTGTACAGTCTGCTAAACAAGTTATTTTAAATAGTTTTTAATATTTTTAGGTAATTAAATTTTAAAAGTGTGGAATAGTTTAGGGATTAAATTGGTCTGATTGGACTTTCTTAGAACGTTTTTAAAAGCAGCTAAAGATAGTATGTAGAATTGAAAATAATTATTATGCCATAAAAGGTGTTTTGGAATTCCTTCAACCTTTTGAAATTGAGTCAAAAAATATAAATTTTATAGGATAGCGGAAAATACCTATAATTTTTTTGTAGGCCTTTGTAAATCGTGGAAATAGTTTATATTTTATTTCTACCTTATTAAGGAAAATGGTACCTATTATTAATAACGGTTGTTTCTGAAAGATTACTAAAATTTTCGAAATTTTGTTTTTCTACAAAATAATAAACTATACTATTTAGAAAAAAATTTATTTCTCTTATAATTTTATAAAAAATAACAGGGGAATATTTACATTTCTTGATCTATTAAACAAAACGATAAATTATCTCGACGAATGACACCATGTTCTAGTACGGAAGCTAGCTTTACATTTTTGTTGGTGGTTTCATGGGTTTCATATCAATTTTTTGTAATTGTAGTTTACACGTACATATACCTCTTAACACTTGTTTGCTTTATTAAAAAAGTGTGTTGTTGTGATTTACGTCGAAATAAGTCAAAAACAACTTGAAACCCCATATAAAATCAAAAAGGAGAAACGGAAAAAAATTGAGCCTGTAAATGAACACAACTCAGAAACAAAAATAGCTATCTAATAATAAAAAAATAAAATTTGATTCTTGTGCAGCTTCATCTATATCATTAACTGTTTTGGGTTTTTTAATGGTTTTTCTTGGTGATGAAAATTCCGATATCTCACGGTTATCGATTCTTTTTTTCTCTCCAGAAATGCGGACGACAGTGTTTTTAGATACTCCTGTGGCTGCAGCAACACGATCATTTACATTTTTAAATGGTATTGAAGGTGAATTAAAGTTTCCTTCTCTTCTCATAAACTCTATAACATTGGCTATTATTTCGCGAGATTGACTGTTAATCACGCGGCCTCTTAATTTGCTATTAAACTCCATACTTAGGTTCTATTAAACTGTAATGAGCAAAAAACACAAACGAAAATAAAAGAAATGTTTTAGCGAAATTTACATCTGACATTTACGTATGAATGAAATAGTGAAATACTTGATGCGCAGAGTGTACTTTCATTGCGTAAATCCGTCGGGATGCCTGTCAGTAGTGCTTTCTCTGTCTAGCCGTCGAAAGCCTCTAGAAATTTGATGAACTGTAATACAATTCGATGGATTGAGTGCAGAACGTCGTAACCCC